AGTAGACATAACTTTATCTATTAATAATAGATATAGATATACACACGCATGCACACTAAGTGGCTTCAGTCGTGTCTGACCCTTTGTGACCCTATGGACCCTCCAGGCTCCTCTATCCATGGGATTTTCCAGGCAAGAATACTGGAGTGGGTTGCAGTGCCCTCCTCCAGGGGATCTTCCCAACCCAGGGATCTAACTGGCATCTCTTATGTCTCCTGCATTGGCAGGTGGGTTCTTTACTACTAGCACCTCCTGGGAAGCCCATAGATAGGCATGCACATATACATATAACAGAAACAGAGAGAGACTGATTGTAAGGAATTGGCTCACATGACTGTGGGGCTTGGCAAGTCCAAAATCTGCAGGGCAGGCCAGCAGGCTGGAGACCCAACAAAGAGGTGAAGTTGCAGTCTGAGTCCAAAGGCAACCTGGAGATAGAAATCCCTTCTCCTTAGGGGACATCAGTCTTTTATTTTTAAGATCTTCAAGTGGTCAGATGAGGTTCAACCACATCAGGGATGGCATATGTTTTACTCAAAGTCTACTTATTTAAATGCCTATTTCATCTTAAAAAATGCCTGTTCAGTGACATCTGGACTTGTGTTTACCAAAGAGATGGGTATTATACCCTAGCCATGCATGCATGCATGCTCAGTTGCTAAGTTGTGTCTGACTCTTTGCAACCCCATGGACTGTTGCCTGCCAGGCTCCTCAATCCATGGGATTCCCCAGGCAAGAACACAGGAGTGGGTTGCCATTTCCTTCTCAAGGGGATCTTCCTGACCCAGGGATCAAACTCGCGTCTCTTATGTCTCCTACATTGGCAGGTGTATTCTTTACCACTGAGTCACCTAGGAAGCCCACACCCTAGTCAAGTTGATACAAAAAATTCACTGTCATACATAGTCATAGTATTTTAAACACAAGATATTTATCTAACCAAAGTTATGATAAGCTATTTTGAAAGGATGGGGAGGGCAAGAGGTAGGTATGACTGTGTGTATAGTGGTGGGACTGGGGGAGAAAGAAAGGTAAATCTCACTTTCCACACAGCACAGGGATAATGACAAAACTGGCTAATCAAGAGGAGGCAATAAAGCCATGTTTTTTAGAGGAAGGGAAGTCAACACCAACATGAGGTGAAAGGGTTGCCTCTGGAGAGGTGGGGGAAACAATAGGAAGGTATGAAAAAACACTCTTTTACATAACACACCATGCAGACATATTTGGCTTTTTAAAGAATGTGCATGTATAACTTTGATTTTAAAATATAAACACTTAAAGAAAGGAAAAAGAAGAAAAGATATCCACAGGAGACAAACAATAACAACCAAAATATAAAACAATGGGAATCAATGAAGGGCTAACATACAGTGAGGCTTCTCTAATGAGAATAAAGACAGGCCCACTGAGGATTAAATGAGAGACTGGGAAGTTTCCTTTAAGTAGGATTCGCTTCAGCCAAATTAAGAATTTTCATGGAGAACATGCTTGAGAAAGGCATTGCAGGCAGATGTCTTATACCCTACTTCCTGTAAGTGCCATTTTGCTCTTGCACAGAAGCTTACTGAGGGCCCCACTCAAGCCTCCCCTCATCCTTGACATCTTCCTACATCCTCCTAGAAAGCTGATACTTTCTTTCTTGTAACGCCTACTGCATATGAAGTTCATACAACCTCCTCTGGACTGTGTAGTAAATAGATCTTTCCTTAACAAGATCCCAAGTAGTCTGATATCAGAGTCCTGTCTGATGTTAATAATATCCATTTAGTCATCACCTACTTCTGTCTGGTCCCAGGCTAAGTGCTCTGAATCTGTGACACTTTAATCTACAGCTGCCCTGGGAGGGCAGTGTTATAATGATCTCCGCCTTTGGAAAAAGAAAATTGAGGCTGAGAGAGTTGACTTAATTTGCTAGCTAGGAATCACAATCAGATCTTTCTTTCTCCAAAGTCCATGTTTTTAACCTCTTTGTTATCTTCTTTTCCACTACCTCAAACTGCCTGTTTTATCAACATGTGCTTAGGATAGTATCAAGCATGTAGTAGGTGTGTGGAATATGTTTGTTGATTGAAAGAGAGAGAGTGCAGCATTTGGAAGGTATCCTGCTGCACCCGTGCAGAAACACAGGAAGTTAAATTTCCGTAACCAAGCTAAGCTGTCATGGCTACAGAACATAGCTCTTCTGACCCTGCACAGGTATCTAATGACAGCTCACTGTGTGTAAACAGATGTCAGATTTAAATCAATCTTGCCTCCTGACACCTTACTTAAAAACAGTAATTACATGCTCATTTTTGAATATGCAACCCTAGGTAAATTATCTATCTCCACCTTCCTCACCAAGTTTTAATTTTTTAATATCAATTAAGTTTTTTTTTAAGGCACTCACAGCAGGAGACACACACACAGTGAGGCCAAAACAAAAGAGTGAGCATCTGCAGAAAGTGGAAGAGAATAGAGGGTAGTGAGGCAGCCCCCACTGCAGCAGCAGAGCAGGGTGACGTGAAGAGCAGACATCGTCAGAACCACACAGGCAAGCACAAGGGCCATGGGCAGAGGACGAGGACTCACTGGGCTCAAGGTTGGGCATCCGGGCTTGGTCAGATGCAGAAACACTGGCAGGTCCAGCAGGAACAGGCATGATACCACGCAGAGAACCCAAGGGGGATCTGCTCAGTCATACTCTGAGCTCTGCAGACTTACAGATTGTGGACCTGCCCATTTGAGACTCCGTAGTACCCCATGCCTGAGACAGGGACCCATCCCCAATGTCAGTGACACCTCCTCTTTCACCTTCCACCAAGAGATAGCACTGCAGGAGGACAGACATTCCCTTGTTGCCCAGAAGAGAGCAAAGGCTTTTCATTCCATCTCAATTCCTAGCTGTGGGATCACAAGCAAACACTTAAGCTCTCTGAATGAGAGAAGATTAATTTGGAGCCTGAGAGGTTGTGTTTTCATTCAACACTGTGTAACTTTAAGCAAGTTACTTTACATTTCTAAGCTTCAGTTTCTTCAGCTGTAAAATTGATATATTAACTGTTCCTATCTCATAGAGATATTGGGGAGAGTAAATGTTAGGCAAGTAAATAACTTACAATATAGTCTACTATTTAGAAAGTAGTAATTTTCATTCTTTAGGACTTTAATGGGTATAAAATTGACAAGGATGCATTAGAAGTAGCAGGTTCCTCCTCCTTTCTATAAGTGTGTGTGTGATCAGTCATGTCTGACTCTTTGTGACCCCACAGACTGTAACCTACCAGGCTCCTCTGTCCATAGGATTCCCAGGCAAGAATATTGGAGGGGATTGCCATTTCCTACTCCAGGTTCTATAGGTATCTTAGCATTTAAACATGGATTCCATGGGCCTACTTTGAGTTCTGTTAGATGGACAGTCCTGGTTGGGAGGAGGAGTACCTAATCTTGGCATCAGTGTTGTATCATTGGCAAAGAAAGCCAAAATGGAAGGAAGGGACCCTAACAGACAGAAATGCAATGGGACAGGCTAACTAACGATAGGACGAGATAGATCTGAGTGAGACCAAGGGCACATGCTCAACCTGAAGACAAAACATTACAGAAAATGGAGAGACTATTATCCAGTTGTACTCAAATCACAGCAAATGTGAGTCCATCTCTGCCTTCCCAAATCACATCAATCCAGAGTGGATAGAGGGAGGGACTCCTGCTATCCCAGCCATGGTTAGCTTACTGAGACTAAGCTGGGAGATGTGCAGGTGCCTCAAGAGGCAACCTCCCACCTCTGCCTGGTCTTGTGGGTCACCCTGTACCACTGCCTAGGTATCAGCACTGGCACTGTTTGTCTTAGGTCTGGACTACTTGCTAAGACCTAGACCACCTTTCTCCTTTTTAGTTTATGCTGCTCCACATCTTTCCTAGCTTCTGACCTGCTCCCATTTTCAGACCTGGTTCATCTTCCAAATAGGGCTTTGCACTGGTTCAGGGGCTACAAGTTGGCTTCTCCAACCTATACAATTGCCAGGGCCCCCTCTCTCTATTGCCACATCTGCCCTGGTAAGGAACTTCTCTTGTGTCCTCCAAGGTTTTGTATCTTCTTCTCAGTATCCCTGGGGGGGTCACAAGGTCTCCAGCTTCAAGAGTGAGTCCTCCCTGTACTTCCGATGCATTTCAAACTCTAAAATGCCTCTAAACGATGGGAGATATTGTTCTGCTCCTCAGAGCAACATAGCCATTTCCTGAGGTCCAGGATTATTTTTATTTAATGTTTGCTTTTTTGTTTTGTTTTATTTACTCAGGACAGAAGCCCCAAGTCATGAATTTAACATGAAAAAAAAAAAAAAGTGCTGTGGGAACTCAAAGAAATTAAGTGTAGGAGTAAACTCAAAAAGACTCATGTCTGAAGACTCAGAGACCCCAATGTCTGACCTGGAAGTACCCCATAGGTTCATCTTTCTAATCTCCTAATTATATAGAAAGGGGTTGTGGTCACTGGGGGCCAGAAGCCCCCAAGTGCAGTGGGATACATCTAGAATCATCACTCAGAATCCCTTTTCCTCACCCACTACAATCTCATCATATGTGTCCCATTTGACCTGGTAGATTTTAGCCAAATGGACACATCCATTGGCCTCTAGGAGCAAACCAGTCTCTCCCACAGTGTGTACAGCACTCATCAGGAAGCTCTGCTGGTTTGCAGGCTGCCTCTCACTCCGATCCAGGTCCATCAGTTGAGTAAGTCACAGCTCTAACTACTTGGCCCTTTGAACTCGGATTTTGTTCATTGTTTGGCTTCTCCCCCAGTATTCTGCAATAGTTCCTTAAGTGGGATGTCTCTCCTGGGACTCCCTGGGACTCACACCTTTAACCTGATCCACTGATAAGTGTCCATTCTGGGCCCACCTGCTTCCTCAAAAGGGGGACATCTTAATACTCCTTTAAACAATGCTCCACAACTATTCGCCAATAGCACCTTTATCTGTAGGCTAACAGTAGCAGTAAAGACTCTGAGCAGGAGGATGGGACAATGACCAGAGCCACACTTTATTTGAATCTATAGCTGTCAAGGTATGGAAAGTGTCTCATCAGTGTCTGGAGGCTTATATTTTTCTCCTCCTTCACTCTTTAAATGCCTCCAAATATCCAGGATGAGTAAACTGCTTAAAGAATTTTCAGTAAAGTGGAAGTTGCTTGCAGATGTCCTCTGAGAGATGAGGTGTCCAGGATTCTCCCAGACAAGTATGGGATGTCTTCCAAGTACTGAAGGGACAGGTTTATAAACACCAGCTCCAGTACCTTGCAGGGGACTCAGGCCCAGAGCCAGGCTTCTCCACCCTATGATGAGAAAACCATTATCACTTCATAAGCCTTCTCCCTGCGCCTCCCTGAAAACAACTGCCTGAATGTAGTACTTTGGCCAGGCAACCCCAGCCCCCCTCCCTCCCACAGTCCTGGACAGAAATGAGAGAGAAACTGCTAAAATCTTTCTGAGGGGGTCAGGTAACTGATATCTGCTCTGGGAGCCATTTTCTTTCTCCCCACCTTCATAAGGCTGCAACGCCATGGCCTGGGGCTTTCCTCAGAAGGCCACCCTGGGGCCTGGGAGGAGAAGGTACAGTGGCCTCTATTGTTCCTTCCTGGCAAAGAAGGTTCCTGATGAAGTGTATGAGGTCAGGGATGCAGAGGCAAGGCATCTCCAAGAGGGTTTTTGTTCCAGTTCAATTTTGCTTTCAGAAAAGGCTACTTAAAGATTTGGCAAATAGCAAGGTGTCCAGTATTCATGCCTGGAGAAATCTACAGACAGAGGAGCCTGGCGGGCTACAGTCTGTGGGGTCGCAAAGAGTCGGACACGACTGAAGCAGCTTAGCACACACACGTGCACACACAAGTTGTCCTGAGACCAGAGCAAACACAGATATGCATGCACTCAACAGCATCCTCTTCATGTCTCCGTCACCTCTCTGATTTACTTGGGAACTGCCACTATAACAGGGATTCAGCTGGGCCTGGAGGAGCCAGCACGTTGTGTATCCAGCTGCCCTCTGGCTGCATCACTCCAGCACCTGAGACAGCAGGAGCACAAAGCCTGTCCCTCCCCGCCAGCTGATCCTCCAAAAGAACTTCAAATGCCAATACCTGAGACAGCCTGCCACACAATGTTTTTATTCATTTAGCACTTGTTTATTGAGCCCAGCAGATGGACTTGTGAAGAGTAATTGAGATAGTGATTGAGCTAGATAAGCACAAGATCTACTTACAGAAACTTTTTAAATACAGATGTATTATTTTAGAATAATCATCACAGTAACATTTAAGAGTTGCCTTATGCTTGAAAATTAAAAATCATTCTTTCAGAGCTGAAAGGGGCTTTATATACTACCTAACGTCATTTCGAAGCCTCATTTTTAAATAAACGTTTTGGCCACATGGTACTGCATGTGGGATCTTAGTTCCCTGACCAGGGATCAAACTCATGCCCTCTGCAGTGTGGAGTCTTAACCACTGGACCTCCAGGAAAATCCTAAAGCCTCATTTTTAAATGGTAGGAGCTCAGATCCAAAGAGATTGGCATTTACACTGCTAACTAATGGCTAACCAGGAACAATGCCAGGTCCTTCAGTCTCTCATTCCAATGGCAAAACTTGGACATACCAGAATTCATTCACTGACCACCAGCCTCACAGTTTAAACATAAGCCTTTCCTTACCACGCACCTACCTATCTTCCTATTCCATGATTCCTACTATGCCACAGGTGCAACCTTTGGGTTATGCTGTCCAGTCTTTGCCTGTTTCTCAAAGAGCAGCAGTTTTTTGCCTCATAGACATATGTGTTTGTTGGCACCCGATCCTTTTATGTTCCCAACCAGGTCATTCTTGACCTACCTGCTGGGAATGCCTGTCTCCCCAAATACGGACTCTGTCCAGTGACTTTGCACCCCACAAGGAGGAAGAGATAGTTCTTCCTTCTCATCTTACTTCACTACACATTCTTACTGCACATCTTACTGCACCACACATTCCTAATGGGGTGAGATAATCCTTCTTCTAAACATTTTATGATTTTACAGTTAAAATAGTATAAGGTTTGGACCCTGTGCCTAATCTTTCTTGTAAGTAGTTTTCCCCCAAACACTCAAAACCTCACATAGATGAGGTGTGTGTCCAGGGAGTTGTTCTGTTGGTCCGACATATGAATGAAGCAGAGAAGTGAGATGTGTGAGGTGAGATCACATGTGGAATCCAGACAAGAATATCTGGATAAGTATGAAGGCTGTGATTGACTCTGCTCTGCGTGTAAGATTCCTGTCCCCTCTGTTCCCTACCACCTCATACACTGGCCTCACCAGCAGCCTTCTGAATTGCTACCATCATTTCCTTGCTCAGCTCACTACTCTAAGCTGTCCCACTCTAATTCATCCTGTACACTGCTGCCATAAGCTGGACTGGGCTCAACTATGTTATTGAAAGGCACCATTTAAGTTAAAAAAAAAATGTAGATCATTGTGTAATCCTAACACTCTATGCAACTCTACATAGTGGAGTGAGGGGCATGGATCAGGCCTCCATAGGAGACTAGGCTTGAGAAGCAACCTCCAGGGACATCTAGAGAAAGACCAGCCTAGGGCACAGCCTCAAACACATGTGAGTACTAATGAATACATTCTTGGCCTTGGATCCAGTGTGGGTTTATTTCAAGAAGGAGATCGACATTGCTGCTCCAGAACTCAGCAGAGAGGCCAAGAGTCTGCTCCTTCCCTCAGGCTCTCACTTAAGTTGTCTATCATGTGAAGGATGGACAGCCCTGTAGACTCGGCACCCCTGTGTGAGGAGCAATCTGAACATGATAATGGTGGGCAGTGGCTTCCCACTGCCTTCTAGACAGAGTTCAAGCCACGTGGAAGGCCTTCTCCAATCAGCCCTACAGACCCGAAGCTGCCATCTTGTACCTCCTGCTCTAGTGAATCTGAATTTCCAGTCTCCCTACCTCTCTAGTGTTTCGCTCCATCATGCTCTACCCAAGTTGTTCCCTCTGTGTGACACGTCCACGCCCCAGTGTTCGCATGCCAACATCTCCTGCTCCAGAGCCACTGCAACTGAAAGGCCCCCTCTCCACCGCTCAGCATTTACTTCTGTTATAATGACCCAGCCATTTCTGGTATTCCAGGTGTATTCTTCTCAACTCATAGACTGTCCTGCACTCCTTGAAAGTAAATTTTAGGCCTCATTAAATTTAGAACACCTAAAGTCTCATGCTCAGACCCTTAAAGTGTCATTAGTTTGGCCTCTACCTTGTAACTGTCCTACACGCTCTCAACTGACCTCCACCCTCTGACTTGCCAATGCCTTATCATTTCCTCCACCCCTGAAGTGCTCTGTGCTCTGATCTGACATCTGCCCCCTAACTCTGGTGCACTCTTATCTAACCACTATCCTCTGGCTTTGTGTTTCTCTGTGGCTTCTAAGCAGCCTCTGTCTCAGGGCCCTCTATCCTCACTTGTACAGGCTTAGAGCTGTGAGATCTTAATGTCTAGGAGTCTGGCTCTCTCATGCTCCAGCCACCTGACCCTGGGCAAGTCACTTAACCTCCAATGGCCTAACTGTCTTCATCTCTAAAAAGAGCAAGTTAACCCAGCTGATCTCTGCGCTCCTTCTCAACACTCAACATTTTCTGGTTCTAAAATCCAAGTGGTATGTGTGTTAATCTTCTATATACACACATTTACACTATCATTATATTTATATTAAAGGGGGCATGCAACAAAAGGCAAGCAGCAGTTCTAATAGATTTTCCTGACCTCCCTGTTCCAATGGGCCCTTTCCTTAGGGAGTGCTTGTTTTTCCTGCAGTCTTTGAACCTCTCACAGGCCTGCTCATTATTTTGTTGTCTGAAGTTAGGCAGGAACATTTCTGTGATTAATTAAGCAAAAGGCCCTGGTACTAGTTGTGCAAGAACCATCAGATAATCACGCCTTTGGGGTGCTCACCAGGCCTGGGGAGCGGCCAGGCTGGGGTCCTCAGAGGGTTGATTAACTCTGGGAATCTCAGGCCTGCCCTAAACATGTAGTTGCCAGAGACACAGTCCTACTTTATAGAAACAGTCAAAGGCTCGCTGTGCAGGGTGATGCAGGCAACGGAGAGTCAGAGCCTCAAGTTCTGCTACTGTGAGGGGCCCAGTGGCCAAATTTGGAAATTAGTGAAACGAAGTTTAAAACAAGGACTTTCAAGCTTTTCCTGAGGAGTCTACAATCCACAGCAGCATCTGAGCAGCAAGCAGTGGGCTTCTACCTCTGATTCAGCTCAGCTTTGATCTACGTATCAGTTTTCTAGGCCTGCTGACACAAAATACCACAATTGGATGGCTTAGAAAGACAGAAAAGCATTCTCTTCAATCACTGGAGGCTAGAAGTCTGAACTCAATGTGTTGGTTATGTCAGTTCCTTCTGGAAGCCCTGGAAGAATCCATCCTCTCTCTCTGCTGCTGGTGGCTGCCACCAATTCGTTGCATTCCTTGGCTTGTAGACACACAGCTCCCATCTCTGACTCTGTCTTTGCCAGGCCTTCTTCCCTATGCGTCTGTATCTCTGTATCCAAATCTTCCTCTCCTTTCTCTTATAAAACCCCAGTCATTGAACTTAGCATCTGCACCATCCAGTATGAACTTAAGTTGATTATATCTGCAAAGACTATTTCTAAATAAGGTCACATTCACGGGTACCAGGGATGGGGATTTAAGCGTGTCTGGGGGAGATAGTTAAACTCCCTATAACTTGCCTTTTGTATTGAGCATCTGAATTAGATTTCATTTGAAGAAAGCATTCTATAACTAAAATAAAGTTAGAAATCAAGGCTGTAAAATATTGAAGGGATTGTGATAGAAGTTTCCCTGCTCTAGAATCTCCCTTGAGCCTGGAATGCCAGTCTCATAAGGACTCAATGGGTAGAAAATTGCACCTCACCACTCTTCCCTGTGGGCCCTGCCCCAAACTTTGGTCAGTTTTTTTTTTGTTTTGTTTTTTTGTTTTGTTTTTGTTTTTTTTTTTCCATTTATTTTTATTAGTTGGAGGCTAATTACTTTACATCATTACAGTAGTTTTTGTCATACATTGAAATGAATTAGCCATGGATTTACATGTATTCCCCATCCCGGTCCCCCCTCCCACCTCCCTCTCCACCCGATCCCTCTGGGTCTTCCCAGTGCACCAGGCCCGAGCACTTGTCTCATGCACCCAACCTGGGCTGGTGATCTGTTTCACCCTAGATAATATACATGTTTCAATGCTGTTCTCTTGAAACATCCCACCCTCGCCTTCTCCCAGAGTCCACAAGTCTGTTCTATACATCTGAGTCTCTTTTTCTGTTTTGCATATAGGGTTATCGTTACCATCTTTCTAAATTCCATATATATGTGTTAGTATACTGTAATGGTCTTTATCTTTCTGGCTTACTTCGCTCTGTATAATGGGCTCCAGTTTCATCCATCTCATTAGAACTGATTCAAATGAATTCCTTTTAATGGCCGAGTAATATTCCATGGTGTATATGTACCACAGCTTCCTCATCCATTCGTCTGCTGATGGGCATCTGGGTTGCTTCCATGTGGTCAGTTGTTTAAGTCAGGATTCTGTCAAAGAAGCAGAACCTTGTGCAAGGTGACTAAGCAGACTCTGTAAGGTTGTCATCTTCTCATCTGATGCTGGAGCTTGAACAGTGCAGGCAGAAATGGAAGACAGATGTAAAGTGGGGACAGCAAGAACAACTCAGAATCCAGAGGCATTTGCTGGAACCCCTGAGGACAAACCCAAACCACTGTGGTTCTTGTGACCTCTGACCTTGAGGGTATGAATATTCTGCAGAAACCAGGGCTCAGGGAACTAAATACACACACCTGGCCCAAGTGTCTGAGAAAGTGAAAAACAATCCAGGGAAGGGGACACAGTGGCAGGCCTGTTGTGACCTCGCACAAAGGAGGTGAACTCACAGATAAGGGACAGTGGGTGTGGCTGCTTTCTTGCAAGAGTTTCACTGGTAGCCCACCCTAACTGGTCACAAAGGGAAAGGAATCCTGGGAAATGTAGTTCAGCCTAGCCAAGCTGGTAGATTATAAAACTGATTCCCTCTGTCAGTTCCTTCAGACTCCCTGTCCCTCTCTCACAGGACCATGAATTCAGGACTGAGACAAAGCTCTTGCTCATCTCCATAACCCCACGTTGTGAATAGTACCTAAGAGTCAATTATTAGGTGCTCACAGAATGATAATCAAATTGCAGAGACCTGAACCACAGACACAGATGTCAGAATAATCTTGGTATTTCAACCAGGCCAGACTCAATAACCATCTACTGAGCACTAACTGCTTGCTAAAAACTATGCTATCATAGATATTGCCTGTTTAATTCTGTGGCAATGTTGTGAGGAAAGTACATGCATCTTTCTTTTCAGATAACACAATCAAGCTTCAGGGAGATTAAGTCATTTGTTTGAGGCCACGTATCAAGACAAACGCAGGTTTAAGTTTAAATCCAAATCTTCTAAAGCCATGTCCACTTCAGGCTCAGAATTGGCTAAGTAACCTTCATCCCTGCTTTCAGGCAATATTAAAAATAACAGTAGCATAAGTCATACAGGAGAAAATCTAATTTAACTTTGAAAGGCTGGACCTAGTCTCAGTAGTACTCTGGAGAAAGTGGAAAATGTGGTGCCAGAGGCAATTAACTCTGAGTAACAGGAACTTTTAGCAAACCAAATGGGCCACATGCTAGTGTAGAAGAGGCTGTTTCCAGGGGAAGATGATGAACTTGCAAATGAATCTTAGACCTGGCTATGTGTTTACTAAATTAATTAATAAAAAGGGTTTTTCTAGAGAACTTCACCACAAGCAGCTAATGGAGGATGAGAAAAGCAAGAAAAAAAAGATAGGAAAAAAGAATCAGAGGAATAGTTCTTCCCCTAGAAGCCTTCCAGGTGGGAAGACTGGATTAGATTCAGGAAAGAAAACGAAGATTGGCCATCTTGAGCTGAATTAGATGGATGGGTTAGAGAGAGGGTCTGAAATATCAATTCCAAAACTGTTTTTCCTGCTGCCCTCAGCAGAAGAAGGAGTTAGGGGGTTACTGGGAAGTTTGGGCTTAGGGGCTTCCCGAGAGTATCTGTGGAACTAACAGGTTTAGACCTTAAAACAAGTTCAGTTAGAGAAAATGATACAGTAGTGGGGAAAGGGGGCTTGTCAGATGATAAATTCATCTACGAGAAAAGATGAATTTCTCTGGCAAGAGCAGTCAAGAAATAAAAGTAAAACATGCAAGTAAACATATGCCAAATGAAACAGAAAAACTAACCAACCTTGGGGGGCAGGGAAGAGGTTAAATAGATTCTAGTCTTTCACAATCCTGTTTGAAGTGGCATTTTTGGATAGGCCATAGTCTTCTGCCAATGCAAAGATGCTCTCAGCTCTTCTGAGCTGGAGAGTCCATGAGAACCCCCGAGTCTCCTGAGTTACACAAGCAGAGCAGAGGGAACCAGCAGCACTGTGCAGGCTTACCTGTCTCTCATCTCCCAGCGCGCCATCATCCCACAGCACAGAGAAAGGTGTCTCATGGAGGGCTTTTCTGAAAGTCTCTTGAAAGCTGCACCTTCAAAGGATGCCTAGAGAAAAGAATCACTCGTGCTGATGGCCTCAGAAACGAAGCTGGGTGTTCCTGTGTCCCCTTTCTCCTGAGGTTGGGCATGGCAGAGGGTGGGCAGGGAAATGTAAAATTTGGACACTTTCTATCTTTCGTCTTTATCTCTACAAATCCCTTAAGATGGAAGGGGAAGTCTCTTCTTTTTCTATCAGGTCTAGACCTCCCCTGGACAAACTTCTGTAATCTTGTTCACAAAGCCCACCTTTTCATACATAAAGGAACAGAAAAAGGAAATTAGAAGTATTTTTCTTTGTAATTTCTGTATAGTAGTCCCCCTTATCTGTAATTTTGCTTTCTATGTAGTTTCACTTACCCACAGTCAATGTGGTCAAAAAGTACTAAATGGAAAATACCAGAAATGACCAATTTATAAGTTTTAAAATTGTATGCCCTTCTAAGTAGCATGATGAAATCTCATGCCATCTCACTCCATCTCACACAGGATGTGAATCATTCCTTCGTCCAGAGTGTCCTGCCTGCCCATCAGCCACTCAGCAGCCACCTTGGTTACCAGATCAACTGTTGAGATATTATAGTCAAGTAAACCTTATTTTGGGCTCCCCTGGTGGCTCAGTTGGTAAAGATTCCTCTTCAATGTGGGATACCTGGCTTCAATCCCGGGGTTGGGAAGATCCCTTGGAGAAGGGCATGGCAACCCACTCCAATATTCTTGCCTGGAGAATTCCATGGAAAGAGGAGCCTGGCAGGATACAGTCCATGGGGCTGCAAAGAGTTCGACGCGACTGAGCGACTAAGCGCAGGAAAGCACAACCCTTATTCTACTTAATATAATGGCCTCAAAGTGAGAGAGTAGTCATGCAGGTGATTCAGATATGCCATAAAGAAGCTATAAAGTGTTTTCTTTAAATCAAAAGGTCGTTCATGTAAAACAAGGAGACTGTCAGTTATTTCGCCATCAAAAATGGGTTCGAGGTCAACCAAGAATTGCCGTTTGAAGCCTGCAACCATGATGAGTTACATGCAAGTTCCCACACAGCAAGGAGAAGAGAACTCTATTAAAAGAGCGCCAAAGGAAGCTGGGAGGACTATAGTAAACAGAGTTCATTGGAGAAACTGAGAGTCTGAAGTACAATGGCTTTTCATTGACTGAACTGTGACAGTTTCAACTGGCTGAAATCTTGCCAGGCAAGGAGAGGAAGTCTTTCTTCTGCCCATTGGGTTCTGTTATCATCATAGGTTGTAAGAAATCTTCCGCCTATCTTCCCAGTTATTTTTTGTTTTTCCATTTATTTTTATTAGTTGGAGGCTAATTACTTTACAATATTGTAGTGGTTTTNGATTAAGATTTTTCTCTGAAAGCACCACTGATCAAGAGTCAGGTTTCACTGGCTTTTTGTTCCTCTCTGTCAGGAAGGGTTTTTATGGAGTGTAGTGTCCCACCTTACTGAGAAAGCACACAGAGGAAGCCTACTGAAGTCACATTTAAGTAGCAGGGAGGTAGGAGGGAGAACTCTCAGACACGTTTTTCATGGAGTTCAGAAGTCATCATCATAGACATTGGAAATCATCTGAAGCATTGTGTCATTGCCAAAAATTTGGAAGACAAAATTCCAAAGTTTAGATCTTAATATATATTCCATTTTCCAGATGTTACATGACTAAAGATGAAATTCCTAGCTGACCCAAACTCAGCTTTTTAAAACACTTTTTTTTCATATATTCACCATCATAGACACTATTATTCACTTTTAATCAATTTTTGTTAATGTTTTATTTTTCTTTTTGTCCTAATCAGGTTTTTTCTTTGTATAATTTTATGTTAAAACCTATATAAATAAAAATATACTCTTCATTCTATTTTTCTCACATTAGTTTGATTGTTAAAAGTAATACAATCTCTGATTTTATTTGCCTTTGTTAAACTTGTATTTTATTCAACCATATATCTTGCTTCTTTCTGAGTCACTTTTTTCATATAATATTTTTTTAATTTGAGATTGCTACTTAATAGTAGCAATACTTACTGAATTAAGTATTGCTTAATTCAATACTTTATTGAAAAGTTCAATACTTAATTGAACCAACTTGCAATGGTTATAAAAACTGTTGTACTTCTATCATCTTTTAAAAATGTTTCCTGTGGTTGTCTTATCCTCTGTTCAGTTTTATATTTTACTATTTGGGCTGAGTTTTACTGATTTAAAACAGATAATAATGGTTACTTTAATATCAAAAAATAACTTTAAGTATATGTTTTTCCAACTGTCAACATTTATTATAAAACCATGCTTATTAATTCTCTTTAAAAAGGTAGTGAAATTTCACATTTTTAATTCTTCTTGTTCTTCCCTCTTTCTACTATACCCTTTGGCTAAGAGCTGCTTTTATGATTAGTTCATTACTCCCTCATTTTACAGGTCTAAATTTATCAGGGCTAGTGCTATATGAGTTTTATTTTATAACCAAATCATAGATCTAAAGTTGGGTTTAAATTTGACCACTAATCCTTCTACAGAATGTATTTTCCATTCATAAGTACTCTGTTTTGAGTAATTTTTTGGTTGGCTAAAGCACAGGTCTTCAGAGTAGTTTATGAGTACTTTGGGGAATATTAAGACTTTTCAATGGCTATACGGGTAGAGGGAGCTTGAATGCAATCATTTTCCAGATCTTTAAATTCCATATACACTTTTTTTCTATAATTTATCTGCTTGAAAATTCTCCTCGCACTGAGGCTTTAGACAAGCTCTCCTCCGCATCACCATTTAACTCTCATCTTTGGCCAAACTTTTCACACATATAGTGTCTTCCTATAGCTCTATACTTCCTATAGAACTAATCCATAATATGAACTTCCTATACATGAAACATATGGATAATTTAAAATATTTGGTAGTGGGGAAGCTCATTCAAGCAAAAAACCATAAACTCCCCGTTTTCTTTCTTACTGTTTTTTCAATAAAACTATTTTTGCATTTATTGTTTTTTCAAATGTTTTAACATATTTTTTGGATCATGTGCACACTAATTATTACAATGATGTCAATTCAAAATAAGTCTTTCAACCCTTAGGACCATATATTGTCAGTAAATAAAACTAAATTTGTGTCCATATTTTTAGCTGCAGAGAAGTATAATAGGGAAGTTTTATATATAGTTCTAATAGTAAATAAGTAATAACAGTCAATAAAAGACTCCTGAGCATAAAAATATATTACATTAACATATAATTCTTAGCGGATACAGAATAAATAAGCAAGGGAAAGGAGAAAAAGAAGTAATGCAGAAGTTCTAATAGCTCAAAAAAGAGTTTGTTTATTATTTTACTGTAATAAAATTTTTGTTGTTCAGTTGTTCAGTCACTAAGTTGTGTCTGACTCTTTGTGACCTCATGGACTGCAGCATGCCAGGCTTCCCTGTCCTTCACTATCTCTTGGAGTTTGCTCAAACTCATGTCCATTGAGTGGGTGATACCATCCAGCCACCTCCTCCTGCAGGTAGAAAATCCCTATAGTTTTTATATCCCATTGAATGCCACTGTATGTATTTTTTAAAAGTAAAATATTCATTTAAAAATATTCATATGGCCCAGCTCTACCTCTCCTCAGTATTCATCCTAGAGAACTGAAAATATATGCTCATACAATGACCTGTTTGTAAAAGTTCATAGCAACTTTATTCATAATCATCAAAAACTAAAAATAGTCCAAATGCCCTCAACTGGTGAATAGATAAGCAAATAGTGTTACATCCATACAATGGAATACTGCTCAGCAATGAAAAAGAACAAACTTCTGATGTATATAAAAAATGTAAGTAACAACATGGATGGCTCTCAAACATATTACGTTAACTGGAAGAAATCAGATGCTAAAGGCCATATACTAAATGATTTCATTTATATGTCATGCTGAAAAAGGAAAAAGTAGAGACAGAAATCAGATCAGTACTTGACAGGGGCTGGGTGGAAAGAGAAATTTGACTCTAGAGTGTACAGTGGTACTTTCTAGGAGGAAAAAACTTTCGTTCTCTTGATTAATGTGGTGATTATATGACTACATAGTTTTCTCAAAACACATCAGACTATATACATCTGAAAAAGGGAATTTTACTCTAAGTTATATTTAATAAAGCTGACTTTTTTAAAAAGTTAGTATTTATTTTTATGTCATTTACATCTATTATAACTTATAATGCAAAATTTTAATCAGTTAAAATATGTGAAGACATTTTTGATAGCATTCTTTTTAAACAGTAGGCAAATAAAATTGAAAACCATTGGGCTTTGTAAAAAAATGAGTATATGACAACATATTTTTGTTTGCATCTAAAGTGAATGATAAGTTAGCCAAATACAGGATTTCTGGCACATAACATGTTGTCCATAATATCAGAGTTATTGCTCCATTGCTATCTGCATTTTAGTTTTCTGATTAAAGAACATGATCAGGCTAATTCACTTTAGGGAGTTTGATTTTATTTCTTTCCTACATGGATACATGTTAATCACTTTTAAAGTTAGTTTTGCCTAGAATTCTTTTCAATTGGAAAACTGTGAATTTGTTTTGCAATTAAAATACAATTGACTTGCAATATTATATTAGTTTCAGGTGTACAAACAGTGATTCAATATTTTATATATTATGAAATAATCATGATAAGTTTAGTTACCATCTGTCACCATATAAAATATTTCAATACTATTGACTATATTCCCTATGATGTACATTACGTTTCTATGCTCTACTTCTTTTGTAACAGGAACTTTTCTCTCTTAATCTCCTTTACCTATTTTGCCCATCTTCCCATCCCTGCCTTTCTCCCAACCACCAGTTTGTTCTATCTATAATTCTGCTTCTGATACAGGAGAGAAGAGGGCAAGACACAACCTTTAAAAGAATCACGTAGCCATCGAGAATATGGTATAAACTGGTTAGAATCAACAATCCAAGATGGTGGATGATTCAATTTCCAGTAAACCTTGAGCCTCATTATATGCTC